CATCTGAAGGCCCAAGGAAGGCGGAATAGCAGCTTCCCATTAGTTTCTATGGACGGAAAAGAGCAGATACGGATTAAATGGTTTTCAATGCATTCCTATGGGAAATGCAGATTCTACATAAGAACTTTTCCACTTGAGAACCACCTTCCAATACGGATTAAGTTCTTAAGTAGAGACCCCACTGTATTCAGCAATGAGGCAATGTAACTGAAGGTCTAACTGAAGACTAACCTAAGAAACAAGGCAAGTCAGACTGTGTGCCATGCATCAGTGGGTTTTCAGCCTTTTTGGACGGCATTCCCCAGCATGGCCAAAAGTTAAGAGTTTGGGGAAATGGAGTTCAAAAGATATGGAAAGCCAAAAGCAATTCCGTGCCAGAGACAGTTACCTCAATCTGCTCAAAGGTGTTTCTAACCCCTACTCTGTGCTTAATGGGTTTTTTAATGTGTATGTCACACTAGACATTCTCTATAACATTGGTCCCAAACCTTGGGCCTCCAGATGTTCTTGGACTTCAACTCCCGGAAGTCCTGGCCAGCAGAGGTGGTGGTGAAGGCTTCTGGGAGGTGTGGTCCAAGAACATCTGAAGGCCCAAGGTTGGGCACCACTGCACTATAAACTAAACTGAACTGAACTGAACTGAATTAAACTAAAGTAAACTAAATAAACTAACACTAGACATTATTTTAAATGCTTGCTTAGCAGTTTTGGATCGACCAATATGGATCTACCAATTTAATTTGGCTTGGTAGCAATTAAGTAATAAAAGCTATAGAGAGCGGCTCCCGGTTTTATTTTGCAGGGAAATTGTAACTATCTGAAATTATAGTACGAAAAATGTAACACCTCTACCCCAAATTTTGCCTAACATAGACATATAATACTTGGCTGTCTTTTATCTGAAAATTAAAATCACATTTCTAAAGATATTTCAACATTTTTTTCTGAATCAGGTATGAATATTTATATCACCCCACCTACCCTTATTTGTAGCCCTGAAACAATCTGAATGATAATGAAAATGATAATACAATTTATCTCGCTGAATTGCACATAGTTGGCACACTACTGGCTCTGTGTATGAACCTGCCCTTGGATATTGATAAAAGTGTCTTAGCATCTCGATTTGGACAAGAGCAATATGGCCACTGTCCCATTCCTTCTCTCTGATACTGATCAAATCTCCCTTTGTCTTGTCACTTGATTATTGAGGTAACTGTCTCATTAAATTACCATAGGTATAAATGTATTTTCTTTAATAATCTTCACTTGTTTCCTCTCTTTCTTTTTCTCTGCCCCCAATGTTTAGCTGCTCCAATGTACATACGTATATATTCAATCCTTCATTCATATTTAACACTATTAGCATCCTCCACATTGCCAGCCCTTAGGTACTGAACTCGGCACTACTCAGTTTGAACAGAACAAAGTTTTATTATTGCTCCATTCACTACCATTCACAGTTGTTGAAAAACAGCCCTGACAATTGTGTTTGAGAAACAGTTAGCTAATGAAAAAACGGTTTTGGGTTTTTCCCTTGCATGGTGTCACTTTGTGAGCACTCAGGGTTGATTTCCTTCAGAATGGACAGGTTTGTTCTCCTTGCAGTCCAGGGGACTTTCAAGAGTCTCCTCCAGCACCACAATTCAAAGCATCAATTCATCAGCAGTCAGCCTTCTTTATGGTCCAGCTCTCAATTCCATACATCGCTACTGGAAAAACCATAGATTTGACTATGCGGACCTTTGTCAGAAAAGTGATGTCTCTGCTTTTTAAGATGCTGTCTAGATTTGTCATTGCTTTCCTCCCAAGAAATCAGGTCTTTGATTTTGTGGCTGCTGTCACCATCTGCAGTGACCATGGAGCCCAAGAAAGTAAAATCTGTCACTGCCTCCATATCTTCCCCTTCAATTTGCCAGGAGATGATGGGACCAGTGGCCATGATCTTAGTTTTTTTGATGTTGAGCTTCAGACAATTTTTGGCACTCTCCTTTTTCACTCTCATTAAGTCATTCTTTAATTTCTCCTCACTTTCTGCCACCAGAGTGGTATCATCTGCATATCTGAGGTTGTTGATAT